GAGAATCGTGGCATGTAGTCATGTTGTTACGTGACAGGCATCTCATGATTATCATTTTTGCACTTGTCACATACTCTCGTCATCCATTCACGTACTGTAATACCAAATTTGGTATATGTGACGCTAGCGAAACGACCGCGAGCACATAATGAGCGTGGCATGTAGTCTTGCTGGTACATGACGCGCATGTGATGATTTTTATGTTAGGGTCTGTCGCTTTTGTTTACCATGTTGTTATATCATACCATACAAGTTTTGCAACATTGTATGTGAACGAAACCACCGCAACAGCTGCTCGACCATGAATTGTAATTCATGACATTAATGAGATACATATCATGATTTTCATGTTGTAACTAGTCAAATGTGTTGTTCATACAGTCATATTATTCTATACTAAGTTTGGTATCAATACCAAAACCGAAACGGCCAGGCGAGCTAAAAGTCCTGGGTGGCTAGATAGATAGATAGATAGATACGCTCAAATTCACCGAAGTTCGCTAAAAAATTCTTCGCATTTAAAAGAGCAAAGCGCGTTTGCCCACCGCATTTCCAAGCTTGCTTGTGCTAACCGATTGAAATCACTCATGAAAACCTTCTGTATTTCTGCAAGAGGAAATGGTTGTGTTTGGGACACGTCAATACCGTCATTTCATAGCGAGCGTAAATTTTTGCGTGGCTTCTTGGTAGTTGTTTGGTTTAGACCATGTGACCACTTGACTATGTCTTTTCGTGACAACATCATTGAAGGCGGACGAATAATTAAAATCAGTTAAACGTTTCCGCTTGTCAATGTCCCATCTTCTCTGTGCCATTGTCTTTATTAGCCTACACCATTTTACTTTGTTTTGGTGCCCAAAATTCACTGATGTCGGCTAAACTGGTCTCCTTATTTGTAATTATAGTGTATCTTGAAATGTGTACTTGCTTCTCTAAATATCTCTACAATTCTTCGAACATTTTATCTGGTATCAACCCGCTTTGGGATAATCCTTTGATGAATTATTGTAAATATGTCTTAAGAGGCACGTTATTAAAATTCTTTGAGTGTTTGTTTACTCAAAGTGTATGTGGTCATGATATCCATTTTAGTGTCGACAAAAAGTGATGCAACAACAGACCAGTTACATATCTCACAAGTGAAAAAATTTTATGAAACTTCTCATGAAAGTTCGCTGTCTTCTAATAACAGCTCTGAATCATCTTCATGGCTCAGAAACATCTTGGTTCTGTATATGTTTGGCAAACATTGATAGTGAAGTGAGTATATTGAGTGTTGCAATTCATGTGAAATATTTCCACCACATATGCGTAGCCAAGCTGACAACATTTGTACAGCTAAACATGTCGATTTCATTGATCCAGACATGGTCTCAGAGGCTTATTTTTTTCCTGCCACAGATTGTTCGATATAGCGCTGATATAATGCACTAGACATGTGCTTATGGCTTTCGAACTTGTCAAGATGAGGACGAGGTACCATCCTGGTGAAATGTTCCCGGGCACGCTTCCATATAAGCAGTAGAGATAGTAGCCTAAAAACGTCCCCCCCCCCCCCCCCACTGAATACGAGGTACATGCTACATCTCTGTGGATGCGAAGTGCTTATCGATACAGACACTTATTGCAAAGAAGTATGCCTACTTTGTCGGTATACTTATTTATTTATTTATTCTATTTATCAATACAGCAGACGATTATGCTGGCCCATGAAGGAGGGGCAAATACAATAACACAACGACAAAGCATTTCCAAAAGACTAACAATGCAAGAAAAAAATGTACAGTGCAAGACGCTTGCTTCGCAAAAGAATTCACACAAATAAAGGCTGGTGCACACCGGCGACTAACAGTGGTCGCGCGATCATTTGCGACTGCTCGCAAGCAGCCGCGAAGGGTCGCAAACGGTCGCTAAGCGACTGCTTTGTCTTGTCGCTTCCTGACCGATGTTTCAGTCGCGCGACTGCAGCCACAAAGCTGCTGGAATCAATCAGCGATGCTCAATTTTTGTTCTTTTGCTTTTTTATAGCACTAGCCTCCTGCCGCCAGATACAAACGAGTGCGTTCCTCTGGGTCTGTGGCACCATAGCCACCACGGAATACTTGGCTTGGAAATGGCGGGGCGCAGCAGCTCGAGCAAAGTGTCGAATTTACGTGCAGGCATTCACGGAGCTACGGAGCAGAAACCTGGAGACTTACAAAGAGGGTTCAGCTTAAATTGAGGACGACGCAGCGAGCAATGGAAAGAAAAATGGTAGGTGTAACCTTAAGAGACAAGAACAGAGCAGAGTGGATTAGGGGACAAACGGGGGTTAAGGATATCATAGTTGAAATAAAGAAGAGGAAATGGACATGGGCCGGGCATGTAGCGCGTAGACAGGATAACCGCTGGTCGTTAAGGGTAACTAACTGGATTCCCAGAGAAGGCAAGCGGGTTAGGGGGAGACAGAAGGTTAGGTGGGCAGATGAGATTAAGAAGTTTGCGGGTATAAATTGGCCGCAGCAAGCACAGGACCGGGTTAACTGGCGGAACATGGGAGAGGCCTTTGTCCTGCAGTGAACGTAGTCAGGCTGATGATGATGATGATGATTCACAAGAAGCTAAACACCGTCAAAGTAAAGAGAAAATAAATTGTGCTCTATCTTTTCCCCGTATTCAGAAACGTTTTTTTTTTGTTGTCTTGAACTTGTCACTGCCTTCAATGCAACGCGTTTGGAACGCGTTTGCGCTTCATGCCTTGGCAACGACTTAAGACACCGCGTTGGAGACGCGTTTGTGCTGTATTTTAGCCCGTGACAAGTCAATTCAAATTGAAGGATCGTTTATGATTACGTACGACTCTCGAAAATACTCCTCGTCGTCTAAGCGCAGCTCAGGAGGCAAGCGGCTTGCATGGCCGGCCCACTCCCACGATCGAAAGGACGGTCAAACCCACTACCGGCTTTTTTTTTCATTTGAGGCATCTGTGATGCCAGCTTTGACACCATGGCACAGCGCATCAGCACCATGACAATGTCTTGTTCTTCGCTTGAATCGAACTTGACGCTGTTGGGAACGCTGTGCGAGAACGGACGAAAACAATAAATGCGGCACGCCTGGCTTGCACCGCTCACTCAGCTGGCGGCGATCAGCTGATCGGCGCCGGTCTCCAGAGGTCTCGCTCATCACGAGATCCGGACGTGACTCACCACTTTAGCGACTTCCGGTCACTTGCATGCAGCCTGCCGGTGTGAACATCAGTCACTTTTTAGTCCCCAGTCGCAAATGGTCCGGTGACCACTGCTTGTCGCCAGTGTGCACCAGTATTTATAATGACAAAAAACGCTCGAGACAATAACAGGGCACTACACGCAGAATGGGATTCACAAAAAAAAATTGTAAGAAAGGTTTAAACACCGTTTTTACATGTATATACTCAATATTGAGAGAAATATGTTTTCTAATTTTTTGTAGCATTCTTCAATAGGGTAAGGTGAATAGGTAGAGAGTTCAATTCTGTTATGGTACGCGAAAAAAAAAGTGTTTGTTAGAGATTTGGTTTTGGCAAGTATTGGCGTAAGAGAAAAGCTGTGTGTGTGTCTAGTCGACCGTGTGTTTTGGGTAACTCAAATATACATGGTACTCGTACAATTTCATGCAGGACATTTCAACAGGGTTTCTATTCGGCTTTTGCTTATAATGTTAAAAGAATAACCTAAACAACCACGAAGTTTTCTGAGCATTACGACTTGGTACACACCAAGTCGTAACACGAGGGGTCCGGCTTTTATCCTTTCGTTGTCAGGCCTTGGCGTCATCTTAATTTCCGAATAGACAATACAGCTAGTAGCGGCCACTCTCCATTAGTGGATGGCATGCCGACCACTTCTTTCCACTATAAGCTGAGCAGGTGGTCTAGAAAATCCTGGCTGAATAGGCTATACACCATGCTATTTTACTTGCGATGTTCAGGCATTTTATATTCTGCGTTTATGACCACAGCATGCCAACCAACTGAAAGCAACGGATGAATAAACTCGACTGCATGTCAATCAATTTAGTGTGAAGGAGCCTTTCCCACAGGTGTTCTCTGAACAATTCTTGAGTTGTCGTATAGCTATTCACCTTGGGCCATTGGTGCGAGAAGTGCGTGCGTGACAATAAACAAAGGAGAAAGAAAAAGCAAGAAATTTTTCAGTGAGTCCAGGAATAAGACGAAAGAGTGAACAATCTTGCAGCGCAACAGCGAAGTGACCTACGTTCCTCTTCAGGAGCACTGCATTGCGACTGTATCTTTCAGCGAATTACGCTGAAGACGACAAATGTTGCTTGAAAATTTCAGGGCATTTTGTGTACAAAAATAACAAAGCTGCAGTTATTAAAAAAACTTGTTTACGCTCAACATATATATCTTTTTGTTGTCCTATAAGCCCTGCCGTTTGGTGTCTCTTACACAAAGGGCACTAAAATATCACATTATCTCTAATCTCTTGGAAATCTCGTAAGTATGCCTCTCCTGAAAAGAGCACTATATTTTTCTCACCGACTCTACGAGGAAGCTTTTTTGTATAGTGTATTGCAAGAGCTACGTACCAAAGATACGACTTATTGATTTCTGCTACGAAAGTTCCGTGTTCACAGTTGCGCATATTGTATCGAAGAGTGAAACGACAAACCCTATCTACGGATTCTGAAGAGCCCTTAGGGAAGTCACCACCCTTAAATTCACAAGATAGCTGATGCTTGATTTCATCCATCGTCACTAATCTGAACGTCACTTTTTATCACAATTCATTTGTCTTCGGGGTGTTTGTAGAACATTGTAAGGTGAACACCCCATTCTAATGGCAACTGATATTTTTTTCAGAATAAACAATACGCGGAAGTTTTATTGCATGAAAGGATGTGCAATATTTCAAGTTAACGACTATCAACCTCAGCAGTAGAAATGCGCTGAGTATCAGTGCACTGAAACTGTAACTTGTATTTTTTGTTTTAGTATGACAGTAATGACGACGGGAGCCATATAAAACGCACTGAAGAGCGGCTTCTCATGGAGAGTTTCCAGCAAGTTCTCCTGCTTCACCGTAACGTTTTACGACGCACGGTAAGAAATTTCCCATAAAATATTCAGGCCCATGTCTAATGCGTAAAGCTACATAGCAGGCTAAACGTGTCTCAAGAGTTGTAAGTGCTGTGCCAAGTGAGAAGTGAATTACCGGAATTAATTTTAAAATGATCAAGGAAACAAGGACTATAACATGGACTGCAATCACCCGCTTAAAGTTGCCATAGTAATAAGTACTAATAATTGCGCTTGGACACTGCGCCATACCACACATGCTTAAAGTTGTATCATGTGGCGCTGTGCAGTTGTTTGTGTGGATACCGATTCCGATATCGACACCAAAGTATGGATAAATAGAAAGAATCTTCATTTTTGCATTCCTATTCAAACAGATATGATGAAGCCATCTGGTGCCGTTTTTTGTGTGCTCCTTCTGTGCACCATGAATGGTGAGTACACCTCTTCGTATTTGAGTAGTACCAAGAAATTCAACTGATGAAGTTCATCGAACCTACAAATCAGTAGTTTTATTGACAGATTACCTATGTGTGTGTTGGTGTCGCTACATATTCATTCCGCTCTAACTTGAAAAGCTAATGATTTCCCTCCTTTTAAAATTACATTCATATGATTACGTAGCACTACCGAGCAGTCACTGCAGTTGCTCAGATGAATAACATTCGATGATATAGCTAAACTGAAAGAGATTAGATTATAGCATTGTTCAGGTTTGACTTAGTTCGTACTGAGTAATATCTGTCTACACGCTACATGCTTGGCCCATGTCCATTTCCTCTTTTTTTCAACTATGATATCCTTAACCCCTTTTTGTCCCCTAATCCACCCTGCTCTCTTCTTGTCTCTTAAGGTTACACCTACCAATTTTCTTTTCATTGCTCGCTGCGTCGTCCTCAATTTAAGCTGAACCTGCTTTGTGAGTCTCCAGGTTTCTGCTCCGTAGCTAAGTACCGGCAAGATAAAGCTGTTATATACCTTTCTCTTGAGAGATAGTGGCAATCTAGCTGTCATAATTTGAGAGTGCTTGCCGAATGTGCTCCAACCCATTCTTATTCTTCTAGCTACTTCGATCGCGTGGTTTGGCTCTGCGGTTATCACCTGCCCTAAGTAGACATAGTCTTTTACAACTTGAAGTGCACTATTACCTATCTCGAAGCGCTGCTCTTTTCCGAGGTTGTTGTACATTACTTTCGTTTTCTGCAGATTAATTTTAAGACCCACCTTCCTGCTTTCTTTGTCTAACTCTGTAATCATGAGTTGCATTTCGTCCTCTCAGTTACTCAGCAATGCAATGTCATCGGCGAAGCGCAGGTTACTAAGGTACTCTTCATTAACTCTCACCCCTAACTGTTCCCATTCTAGGCTTCTGAAAACCTTCTGTAAGCACGCGGTAAATAGCATTGGGGAGATTGTGTTCCCCTGCCTTACGCCCTTCTTTATTGATATCTAGTTGCTTTCATTATGAAGCACTATGGTAGCAGTTGGTAGTATGGTAGCACTATGGTAGCAGAGAAGGGAAGCGGGTTGGGTGGAGACAGAAGGTTAGGTGGGCAGATAAGCTTAAGAAGTTTGCGGGTAAAATATAGCAGCAGCAAGCACGGGACCGGGTTAACTGGCGGAACATGCGAGAGGCCTTTGTCCTGCAATGGACGTAGTCAGGCTGATGATGACGATCATGATGATGATGAATAATATCTTAGGATACTCTTGGCACATATTGTACGAGGACGGAAAACACACCAGAACAGGACGGGCTAAGTTGCCATTCAAGGCCAGTACTTTTCTGTTACTTTATTTGTCCTCGCTCAATTTCAGCCACATTTATTGTCTGAATATCGCCAATCAGGTTTGTCAGTTGGCCAGGTAAGTGTAACTTTGCTCATGTCTACAGTTTTTGATAACAGAATCCACTACAGTGGGAATGAGCTACACTGACTTAGGTCTTGGATGTTCACACGTCATCTTAAACTAAAAAAAATAGCAGATCTCACGTCCAGTCGGAACCAATGATATGCAAAGCACGAATGAGAAAGGTAGACATGTCACCATAAAGAATAGCACAACGTTACAAGGTGGAGGTAAATGGTGCCACACATGACTTCCATGTCATGATTATCTTGTTTTGATGTGTCGTTTACCTTTGTCATCTGTTCACTTCACGTCACACCAAATTTGGTATATGTGGAGCTAGCGAAACAGCCATGAGCACATTATGAAGGGCCCAAAATACTCCGACGTAACGTTAACGCACACGCACGCTGGGCATAGCGATGCTACCTTAGCAAAATGTGAGCATTCTATAGTCTGACGCCAGGCGAGACCGGCGCGACCAGCGTCCGTCGGCACGGCCTCACTATAGTGCGGCAAGCGGCAACCGGCACGAAATGCGACATGCTACATTATGTGCCAATGCGTTACACAGACAGCACTGCGTCTGCCTCTTTTTGTGACGGAGGGACACCGGACGCGCTTAAACGCGCATGCATCAAAGCAACGCAGCGCGGCGCGCAGCTGCGAGTATTTGGCAGGACCAGCACCTGGCGTGTCGATGCCGGTTTGACGCGTCTAAACTAATGCCGGGGAGCACGTGTACCTCGTTACGTCGAAATGTATTGACGCCTTGACTGTGGAATGTCGTTATGTTCTCACATGACACGCATCTCATGATTATCATGCTCGCACTAGTCACATAACTTCGTCACTCATTGGCGTCACGTAATACGAAATTTGGCACATGTGAAGCTAGCGAAACTAACGCGAACGCATCATCAGTGTGGCATGTATTCATGTTGTTACATGACACGCATGTCGCGATTGTCATATTTGGATGAGTCATTCACTTACATCATCTGTTCGCGTCACGTAATACCGAATTTGGTACATTTATGGTAGCGGAACGGCCGCGAGTGAATCATTAGCGCAGCATTTAGTCATGTAGTTATATGACACGCATCTCATGATTATCATGTTATCAATAGTCGCATGCCTTCGTCATTCATTTACGTACCGTAATACCAAGTTTAGTATATAAGACGCTAGCGAAGCAGCCACCGGCACATCATGAGCGTGGCATGTAGTCATGTTGTTACATGACACGCATGTCACGATTTTCATGCTAGGGTCTGTCGTTTGTGTTCGCCATGCAATCACGTCATACCATACCAGATTTGCAACATGCCTTGTGTACGAAACCACCGCAACAGCTGCAGGACCATGAAATATAAATCATGACATTCATGACATACATGTCATGATTTTATGTTATGACTAGTCAAATATGCTCGTCATACAGTCATGTTATGGCATAGGTTTGGTATCGATACCTTTATCGAAACGGCCAGGAGAGCTAAATGTCGTGGGCGACTAGATAGATAGATAGATAGATAGATAGATAGATAGAAAGAAAGATAGATAGATAGATAGATAGATAGATAGATAGATAGATAAATAGATAGATAGATAGACAGATAGATAGATAGGTAGATAGATAGACAGATAGATAGATAGATGGATAGATAGATAGATAGATAGATAGATAGATAGATAGATAGATAGATAGATAGATAGATACGCTCAAAGTCGCTGAAGTTCCCTAAGAAATGTTTCGCATTCAAAACAGTGCCCGACGAACGTTTTGTTGTGGTAAAATATGAATAAATACCCAGTACTTTCAGTTTCAAGTTTTGCTTTCCTTTACGCGAAAATTTTTTTCTGCAATAATGAAAAGTGTAAATTCAAGAGATGATTTTGCTTATTAGACACAATAATTATGAGAAATATTCGACAATGTCGCCAAGGAATGTGTAGGGGTTGTTGCTACAACTCATTGTAAGTTAAAGGTGACCCAAAAAATTTGGAATGATGGATAAATTGGAGCTAAAGGGTACCAAATCTGCGACTCTGGAACAAAGCGTATGAAGATCCACAACTGAGCTACGGTGGTGGCTGACGCTCCGTCCACTTTGTATAGTAGACATCTGCATATAATCGTGGGAGCATCATTAGTGCACCTGATGCCATTACGGTGAATATCGAACACTCTTGTTACCTGTTGGCATCACCTAGCACGTGGTCCTATTACGAGTTGGCAGCTTTTCAAGTATTTTTTGCATATTACTTGAAGGCATCAAGTCCCCCAAAATGGAACCCTCGTTATTGATGAGGAAAAACGGTGTAGATGTCATTCGCTTTGTTAGACACAATATTAATAAAACTAACGCACATCAATGCCAAGAAAAGTATAGAGGTTGTGATTAGAAGTAGTTGTAATGTAAATGAGAAGAATGAAAAGCAGAAAAAAGATAACTTGCCACCGACAGGAGACGCTCCAGTTCACTTCGCTGCCAGCTCAATATACCAGCACGTACTAGGCGACGCTAACAGGCAAAAACGCTAGCAGACCGTTGGATGCTAATATAAGCTCAGCCTAGTCTTACCAAAATGGTTACAAATAGCATTATAGTATGCCCTTTTCTACTCTAAAATAACATACGGTATCTTGGTATGGGGTACTACTACACAAACAAACTATCAAAAATTACTAGTTCGGCAAAAAAGAGTTCTGCGAGCATTCGAGCATTACCATGGTATTATCAGGGACTTGAAAACCAAACCACTCTTTGAAAAATACGCATTACTAACGGTAACAAAACTGTATCATTTTGAACTTCTGCAGTGGATTAAACAATACAAGCCACAGTGTCTTGAGAACCCGCCTGACAACACTTATTATATAATGCGTCAGCAACGCCGGCAAATCCCAGCAATAAGGACAAGTTATGGCAAGCAACACGTTCAGTATCAAATACCCACAATGTTCAATCGTTTACACGGTCTCATAGATTTCAATTTTGTACCTTCGAACACCATTATCAAGTCCATCCTAACGAACCATGATATTGAGTATGCTTATTAAAGTTTCTGTACTTGATTTGTTACATCCTATCTATCAATTTGAGTTATGTGTTGTAGTTTCTTTTCTTATGCTTTATTTTACATTCTGTATTGATGAAGTTTCTTTTCAGATGACGCTTTTGTGATAAAGTGATTTTGTAATGTTTCCCTTAAAATTGTTTACAAGACCATGCTAAATTTTTTTGTGTTATGGTTTATTTATTGTGTTATTTATTGATTTCAGTGTGTTATTTGTTGTGTTATATATTTATTTCTGAAAATATATGCGACAGATTGAGCGGCCTGCTTGCCAAATTGTATTTAGGAGCAGAGGCACCATGTCAGGCCTTCAGCCTCTGCTCCCGATCCTGTAAGAATTTCAGGACAAATAAACTTCAATTCAATCAAAATTGAAAATCGAGAAAGAAATTCCATCCTCGCCATAATGGCAACAGGCGGGAACAACTGCCTCTCCCGCATTAATTTGCCTATATATACCTTATCAAGTAGACAGAGGGATGACCGCCACCTCAGCTAAGTGAAACAGCATCGAATGCGTTATTATACAAGGTCACACGTTTGGTACCTGCCACTGTAAAATTTTTTTCGTGCACTTTTATTTGTGCAAAATTTCATTATTTCCGTTTAATACTATCTCTTGCACTTTACTTGGTATTATCTATGAGTTTGTTTTATAGCTTATTCAAAATAAAACCACATTCTTAATTTAACAGCAAAACTCTCTAAGGCCATCGTTCATCCGTGATACACTACGGGAAATCAGCATCATCAGTAATCGGCACTGGGTATCTTTGCCAAGCTCTTCATTTATGTTGTGAGCTATTCACTTGCAGAACCTGACCACTGGTTTTCGCGTCGTGAGAAGCGATATTTCTGCTCGGCGAGTCAACGAGGCCAAGAAGAGTTTAAAAAAGAAAAGAAACAGCTATAAACATAAAAATGTTTGGAATCACAAGTCACAAACCTTCTTCGCATTGCGCGGTTCGAACTTACGTACCCAGGATCCGTAAGCGAGAGCGTTAACCACACGGTTATCGACTTGCTGTCACAGTTCAACATATAGCCTTGCTTATGGTAGTACATCAATAGAGAGGGCAGGAGAAGTGAGGGTGAGTGGAAGAGGCGTGAGGGTGAAATAGAAAGAAAATAGGAGGCTATAGAACAAACATCACACGGAATAAATGAAACTATTACGTAGAAGAAAAGTTCAAAAAATAAAAAGTAAAGAGACATAATTGAAGAAAGAGAAAGAATTAGAGAGGTAGAAAGATAGAACAAAGAAGAGATAAATATATACGGAGAGGAAGGGAATGAATATGTTAAGCAGAAAGATGGAATGGCGCGCCAAGAGAAAAGAATAAACACAGGGAAGAGAGAACTAGAAAAATATAAAGAAAGAAAAGAAGTAACAGTATATACAAAAACAGCCAGTACTACCTAGGCGTACATCAACTGTGCTGTCTCTTTAGCGTTGCGCCTAGAATTCCTACTTTGCTGACATTCTTGGTATTTGTGCTCGTTCTAGCGTCCACTACGTCATTCATCATAAAGGTATAGAACAGAACAGAACAGAACAGAAGGTTTATTGTGCTAAATGAAGAAGAATACATGTGCATGATATACAGAAAGAGGTCCCATAGTCAGAGACTGCAAGGGGACCTCTTGTACAATGTAGAATTGAGAATGATTGTGATGTACATAGCAGGGAGACAGAGCTACAGTAAAATGCAATTGAAACAAATAAAGTGAGAATATACAGAAACAATTTAAAAGTAAGAATAACGTGCTAACTTCAATGACAAATGATTACAGAGCACAACTCACAATGAATAGGAATCAATTAATAAACAGCAAAACAGGCTAGTTAGTGGACATTATATGATTTTTTAACTTCGATTTAATTTCCTTCAGGGAACGGCATACTTTAATGTCGGAAGACAAACTATTCCAAAAAGAAATTCCGGAAAAATGAATGGTTTGTTTGCCATAATTGGTGCGAACTTTTGGCAGTAGAAAGTTATTGTTAAGGGCAAACCTTGTGACATTGTTATTTGAGAGAATGGAAGTGATATGTGGAAGTTGGTTATTTATAGTTCTATACATGTAAATACCAAGGTTATATTTAACTAGCTCAGATACAGTTAATATATTGTTTTCGTGAAGTAGTGACTTAGCGTTAGAGAGATATGGGCTTGATGTGAGAATTCTTATCGCTTGGTTTTGAATTGTCTGAACTGAAGTAAGATGAGTGGTGTATGTGTTGCCCCATGAAGTAATACAGTAAGAAATGTGCGAATGAACAAAAGAAAAATACAGTGATATAAGTATTGATGGATTGAAATAAAGACGAGATTTAATCAGTAGACGAATGCCATATGTCATTTTTTTCCTAATATATGCAACATGTCGGTGATATTTCAAGTTACTGTCGAGTTCAACGCCTAGAATAACGAACTAACAAATATTTAACCTGTAGGTAAACATATCGAAACCACACCTTGTCTTTATAACCACAAGAGCATTAGTGTGTCTTGCTAAACACTTTCAAAGTGTTCCAAATAAAATTACTCGATTACCAGCCATGCGTGCGACTTCCCTAAAGCGTGCAGCTGCACTTAAACCAATCACGGTTATGCAAGATTGAAGGGAGGCTTACAATGCAATTTTTCCTCTGACAGCTTTTTGCCACAAGGTACCAGAGAAGTATGAAACATTGGACGTCATCGTCGACAAAGAAGCACAGCGTGTAGGCCTTGAAGCTGTTCAAGTGGGCGAAGTTCTGCGCGCCATTGCGTATGGTCTTCGTACACGTTCGCAGCACCAGGAAGGAAAAGAGAACCAGGTGAATTGTTGTATTTGTTGAAATTGACTTCGTTGTTATTTTGTACCTAACCCAGTACAGATAAAGTTTCGCCTCATAATTACAGCTTCCTAGCCCATGCTGCAATGAAGCAAATGAGAGCGTGAAGCTGGGATTAAGTTTTTAGCTACGCTTTTAACTTTACAACTAGATGTAGAAAGAAGCACTAGTACTTTGGTGCTGATACACATTATGTCTCATAGAATGGCCAACACCTTTAAGCTTTCCTATGTTATACGCCACAGAACCTATAAAAATATGAGTGTGTTTTTCTACCAGCTGAATGAACATAAATTTTGCCTTGATTGGCAGTTCTGGAATTAGGTAAAGAGCCAGCGCTTTCTTTCTCTGGATTTTTGACTCCTTGCTGACAAAGTTCGTATTGCTGTTACAGAGTCAAGAGTACTTTCTTGACAAAATCTTCAAAGCCGTTGGTGAACTTGTCAAGGGCGCCGGAAACGTCGTGCAGGGAGTCGCTCAAGGTGTTGGCGCAGCAGTCGGCGCATTGACCTTCAGCCATACCAACGGTGCCGTGACCACGAAAGCTGCTGACATAGTTCGCGAAATCATTGTTAAAGATCTCAGCATGTATGCAACTGAAGACGGCAAGGTACACGAGGACTTTCGCCAACAGATTGCCAAAGATTTGAGTCGTGTGGCCGAGTCACTAATCAACAAAGGACAAGTGCTCTGCTCTGGCCGTGGACGCAGGCACCTGAATGAGAACGAGGCGAAGTTTGTTCAGATGGTTGTTGAAGCCTTCTGAAAGCAACTGTGCAACGTATGCGAGTCGGTCATATTTTGCCGCTGCACTTTCACTTTAGAAAATGTGGTAATAACTGCCAATTTTATTGCAAATACTTTTATATGAAGGCTGCCGAAAGGGTGTATCGCGTTACGGAAGGGCGAAAATAGATACGTTCTGTCATACTGTGATTGTTACCAGTCTGCTACGCCTTACTTAAAAAAATTTTTGGTGCGAATAAAACTGAATTGATGTGTTGGAATCCGCTCGTTCGCATGATGGAATGACATTTTCACCTCTTGGGTGCAAATAGAAATATACGGCACTCAAGAAAGTGAACGTATCAAATTACTGATACGGCAAACGTAACGTGTAGACTACCCTTTCAATAATAAGCAACACAAAGATTGAGTTCCCAGCACGTGTGGGTGCCTTATTTAACCATAAGGTCTTCACAATAGTTCCGCATGCTAATTTCACAACATCGTCTCGAGCGGGTTGCGATAAATCAGATGCTTCTAGTGCGCACAGCTTTTGCACCGGGCGAGACAACGTTGAACCAATAGTGAGACTCGAGGAGCAAGTGGGCGCTCTGCTGTCTCCTGCTGGCAGGTAAGTACTCAGTTGACCTAGTTTCCAGTACATTGCTCGTGTATAGTACTCTAACCCACGTATACCACACCACAGATCTGTAGCATGGTTCATGAATGACTTGAGCAGCCTTGCGCTCGCCACAGTGGCAGCAGCTTGGCTCGCTACCAACATCTCTGAAGTTGTCTATAATGTGCTGGCGCTGACGAACCTTGCGATTCAAGTCAACCGCAGTCTTAAGCTCCGAGATGCAAATCTGTTGTGGCAAGTAAAGGCTGCGCTTTCTTAACAGTTAGCGCGATAGAGCCACAGACTGGATCCTGTTGGTATGCTCTCAAAATGCGTTAATGGTCTCCTCTTCTTCACTGCTCCGATCATGCACAGTACAGTTGTGAGGGCTCTAATAAAGCATTCCAATATCCACCCCACCACGGAGCTGTTTCTACGATGAACGTATAATGAATTCGTGCCAATTTACGTACTCTGGAAGCGCTGGTAGTGTCGATGCAAATGCTTTAGCGCAGACAGAAATAGTTGAAGCGTTGATGAAGTATACTGTCGAAATAACTCCGAGCCATGTGAGAAACGGTGGAACGTGAATGATTTTGTGGCTGCGGTGATATCGAAGGTGAGCGCCACATAGATAGTGTGAGTGTCAGCACATCAAAAGAGAAAAAAAAACTAAGAATCTTGTTGAACCGTTTGCTTGTTTTGCTTATCAGGGCCCACAGTATTCTATCCCCACAAAGGTGAGGAGCTTGCTTTCCTAGTTCTCACGCATGGGAGAAGGGCGCTGGTGCAGATGCCGTTGCTGTTTTTCGTGCTTTACATATTCTGAACCTTGATACTATCTTCTTTTAGTCTGGTGCTCTTTTAACCGAGAATGCTTTCGAAGCTCCGTTAACGCTGCTTCAACATGGGTAATGAGCATATTGTGACATGAATAGTGGGTACGCGTATCGCTTATACAAGAAAGCATCTAAGCTTCAGATTTTCTGTTACAAGAATGGATTAGTGTACGTCGAGATCAGTGTTAAGTTGGTACAGTCGTCCACTGACGCGACATACGCTGTCCTCCTTCAGAAAGGAATGATGCCGAATAACACGAGATAATTCGGTTAACGGCTGAACGTAGCGCAGCACATCGCTTATTAACAAGTGTTCTTTATACTCTGTAGCGTATCACTGTCGCCTTCTAATACCTCTTCCGCCGTGGAAGGCCAGGCTACCCATGGGAGGCTTCGCGAAGCGCCACAGATGAAATACTTGATCCGCGCGGCAAGTCGTGTTCCACGTGCAAGACACATTGGTGGGAAAAAAAACGATGTAAATGCAGATGTATTTAGTGTAAACGAGCCTTGGTCATAGGTTCGCCACTTGAGACCAAGCTCTGTAATAATAGAAACTCGCTATTTTATATTATTTCACGTTTTAAGAAAACTTGGTGATGGGCGAGTTGGTGCACCTTAGAAAAACTGGGATAACTAAGCTACACTATTCGTGAAATACACGCTAATATGCAAGGAAATCGGTCAAATTATGGTCTATTTTGCTTAGTGCATTTGTCGGCTCCGTGGCCATGTTCTAGATGTAGCGGTTCTATTGTAAATTGCCTTTAGAATAGCCAGGACAAGGATTAGTCGGGATTTGAGGTCACATTTTTTCCGACTATTTACGGACTGCGGTTCCGCATGACGCCCCCGTGAGTTGTTTGGCCCTGAGGTGGTTGATTAAAAAAGATAGATAGATAGATAGATAGATAGATAGATAGATAGATCAGTTCCAACTACTTTACTAACAAACTTACAAATTTTATGAATAGAAATGATGCGGTCAATATCTCTTGCACTAGGCAAAAGCGCGAACTTGCATGCCAGTCAAAAACCTTGCTTCATAACTCAGAAATAAAAACATATCAAACCACCTAAATTAACGCAGCACTTACAAAGAAGAATAAGACCGTAATGAGTACACCTAGTGGAATTTTCGAATCCTCTATTGGCGTAAATATATACAGCTATTTTCTATGAGTAATAAATGAATGAAACATGCTGCCTGATTCACTGGTGTCTTCTCTTTCCATTACTGCATTCATAAACAAGTTTCGTGCTGTTACCTATTCGAGTCATTTGGCGTGTACACACTCATTTATTTAACATCGTGCTGTGGTCGCGATGATTGCATTCGTGTTTGTTTGTTTACTTTGCTCTTTTTACTCTTCTTTCAATACCTCTGAAGAAAGCAAAGCCCTAAAATCATGTTTGCAATTTTCTCGCGTGTATGTTTATCATTGAACTGGTTCTGATTGTTGATTTATTTCTGTATCGCCCTTCTAGTATTACCAGTAGTAATAAACAAACAAACAAACAAACAAACAAACAAACACAAAACCATTCATCATAACTTTACCGGCACAAATTATAGTTTGTCAATTTTATACGTAACATGAAGTAACACTTCGAAGAAGAAGGCCACTGTCGCTCTTACTCGTATGTAACTTATGTTAGTGAGTTGCTAAGGCTTTTTATTCTTTATTTGAAGAAAACGATGAACCTAAGGAGAAAATATTCTTTTCATTTTGCAAACACTGGAAAGGTTGTCTGCATATGTAGCCAATCAAAACAACAGTTTTAACATCCACAGATAGCTTTAGTGGTTCTGATGTCTAAACCAGTGATCTCGCTAATAATCAACGTAATTCACGAGGTAATGTACACAGTCCTTTTCAGTTGTTTATAATAAGCTGATTTGTCGCATATCTTGCCTGCCATACCTAATAAATTATTATATGCCAAAGGAGAGAGTAAATTAAAGGAAGCCTTCTCATTGATCTACACAACACTAATGAGAAAGTCTAGAAAACGCAGTAAAGCGGATGGTATGAGAAGTAACAAAGGGCAGCACAGCGGATATCCTTCGAATTAATTGCAATGTAGTTGTGAAGAGAGAAAAGTGGATTAGCGAATAGTTTTCCGGCGGCAAAGACCAAACCCACAACCTTTGACCAACCTGCGCGCTGCTCTACTACAGAGCTACGGCCGCGGTTACCTTTCCATTCTTGTGCAGTGACACGTTGACGCGTCAGTCAGCACCACCAGAGCGCTTGAGGTGAGCGTAGAACACTATTTTTCTGCCAGTAGGCGTCAAGTAGCACGTGCACTTATTCAGAGCTGGCATATGACCGCCTGCAGGCATCAAATCGGCCAGAATGAGACCCTCGTTAAGAATGAAAGAAATAGGAATAAATTTTAGCGCTCCTTTGCTTTGTTAGAAGCAGGTATCGGAACTTTACTAATACTGTTGGAAAGATACTGTTGTATTCAGTTTCTGCTTCGCATCTATTCTCTCAACTCCAGTAGGCGCATTCATTCATTGTTAAATAAATCATGTACATAGTAAATAAAAGAAGTTTCTTGCTTCATACATCGTAGTGGCTAGACCCTGACTCATTTTTCTTAGACCCTACATTGGCAATGAAGATGTCATGAACGTACCTCTAACAACTGTGCCCGTCCGAGCCCGGCCAAACATAAGCTTCCCTGCCTCACCCCATCGCCGTTCTTTCTTGCGACGTCCGGCTGGCCGCCACTACCATGGGTGCAGTGAGAGCAAAGGTTCAACGTGTACTTGGTAGCTTCCGGGGCCGCCAGGTTCACGTCAGGAAGACGCAAGCCCCTTCTTTCACATTGTTTGGGAGCGGAGGGCCAGCGTATTTACCAGACCCTTCCTGCTGGGTCGACCGCAGCAGCACCGGTACTGCTAAGCACCGCAGCAGCCCCCGTTAAGAATGGGCCCAAGTCTGCTGAAGCCACTTCTTACGAGTACGACACGGTACCCGTGGCAATACGGCATTACTTCCCGGCATCCTGCAACGTTGTCGTCAAACGTCATCGCTTTCACCACCATCGACAACAATCAGGCGAGTCATTTGACGACTTTGTTTCTGTCCAACGAGAGCTGCATTCACGCTGTTCATTAGTTTCTCAAGATGACGCTCTGCAGGATCAATTTGTTGCCGGCATAGTTTCTAACCGCGTGCGTGAAGGGTTACTGCTTGGGGGCTCTTCACATTCGTGTTCGAAATCTTGGTGTGAAGTGCACTGTAAATTGAGCATGTAGCTGAAAAGCTACAAGAGTTTTCTCCTTCAATCGATGAAGTTCAGAGTGACGTAGTCGTAAAAAACCGTCATATTTAATGCAAAACAACAATTCACAGCCGACAGCCGACTATCAACAAAAGTAACGAAGGGCGAGAGTGGCTCCCGTGCACCGCCATCACTCCGGAATGGAACCGTGATCACCGCAGCCCTTCCGCGCCGCCTGACTGTGTCCGACGCGGCTGGTGGGATCACATTGCATCAGATAGGTAGTGCTAACCGCATGTGAAAACTTGTTTGTGTTTCGGTCACAAGGGCCACTTTCAAAATGTATGCAACCACAAACGAGCTCAAGCGCAAGGCATGGTCCGCGAAGTTGAACCTCGCGCAGCATTGCTGAGCAAGTGTTAACTCTGGCACGTTCCGCTTGTAAGAGGGCTGTCATAAAATAATGCTGTTATTGAGTGCAGTACACGAAATTTTTGATCCGAAATTTGCAGTCATGATGTCCACAAATGCTTCTCAATGTGAGCTGCGAGCAGTTCATCAGCAACAAGATGGCCAAAGGCTTGCG